TTCTGGCCAGTGAGACGTAAGTGGGAGTCTGGAGTACATTTCTGGGAGTGCTTTTGGTTGCCTGGTAAAAGGTACAAACAAAGCTGGCTCTTTCCCCTTACTTCTGCACAGGAGCCAGGCTCGATCACGGTGGTGAAGTACTCTCATGACCACTGGCTACAAGCCTAAGAGAAATGTCAGAACATACTACTGAGCTGTTCCAACAGAGCCAGTGAGAAAGGGAACCCAACTGCTGACTGAGTTTGCTGTTACTTACAGTGCAACAAATCATAACAGACACAGTAGTGACAAAAGAAAGTGCAAAATCAAATGGATATTCATTAAGCAACCACTAAGGGCAAGACGCTGTGGTGAGAGGTAGTGTTGATATTAAAACCAGCAAGTTCCTGGTCCCAAGGAGTTTCCAATCCAAATGGGAAGAGAGGACAGGATCAGGATCATTGCTAAATGATGTCAGGTAGAACAGGATCACTGCTAAAATCCTCATCTGACTGTGAGCTTGTAGCATCCACCAACGCAAGCAACAAATGGTCGGAAACTTTCAGGAGTTTAAGATGGAACTTTATTGGCCAAAGCTTTACCTGCGCATGGGGCGAACTCTCGAGGTGTCCGGAGACACGGTGCCCAGAAAGGGCTGCAAATGAGAGTCGCGCCTGGCGCTTACAGCCTAGGGTTTTTATTGGGATGAGCAAGCAAGCAAACACAGAAGCAGACGTAGCTGTTAGCGATTGGCTGTCTCGAGGGAACACACATGGCTATGCTTTCTGCTTGCAGCAGTGGATACTTTTCTGCAAAGACAAGGTCATGCAGAGGCGGTTTATCTTGTTCAGCACTCTTTGTACTTTCTGTATTTTCTGTCTTCCTTGCTGAGTCTGGAGCCTGCCTCGGGTTCCTTGTTCCTCTTGGCTACTTTTATCTAATTCCGGGCCTAACAAGCTTTGTTGTCTCTACCCACCGTGACCTCTGACATGCTGGTATAAAGTAAACATGTATCAAGTAAATAAAGATGAGATGACTTTCATCTGGGTACATGGGGGAGGACTCCAAAGTCTTGAGTGGCAACTTTAAAGTACAGGTAAGATTTCAACAGGGAGAAATGGCTGGAGAAAGGTACAAAAGCATTTTAGGCAGAGAACAGAAAAGGCCTAAAGACATGATGGAAGGAAGTTGTAACATAGAAGAGAACATGATTGTCCTTTTTTCTAGGTAAAAAGAAAGGTATGTTACCACTTTAAACATAAAAGGCAATAATTGACTGTTTCTGCCTTTATAAGATTTTAAATATTAGTTTAAACATCATTCAGAAACATGCAATGGTTAAAAATATTTATTTTGCAAACAGAATAAAGAACATTGATACCCAGTGACTGACACCTAGCAAGTGGGAGATACATAAATATCCTAATTTGCAATCAAATGCAATTTTTAAGAACTGAGTGTAAGGTTCTTTGAAGTTTTTAGGGTTTAGTATCTGTAAATGAAAATAAAAACATCACTGAGAGCTCAAAGACACGTTTTATGATTACAAAATAGCTTTGAATGAAAATTGTTTCAAAAGAAAAAAGCTCTCACTTTTATGAGGATAAAAATTGTGGAGAGGGAGGGAGGTGAAAGGAGAAGAGATCTCTCCCAGAGCTTACCATATCTCCTGGGATGTGCAATCACCTTCATCTGAAGTAGGTAATATTATCTCAAACTACAGTTTTCAGGAACTAAAGATCAAGGTGAGAAGGGCTTAAGGCTGAGTAAAGCCTTATTGGAAGTTCAATGTTCTGTCGAAAACTTCCATACACTGAGAAACATACAATTCAAAGTAATCTCTCACTCAGCCTCCTCTGAATCTTTTCCTTTGCCATATCTCCTGAGATTTTCCCCTCATGTCTTCTGTGGTTGGTATCTGCATAGTAAAACCTTGGACATTTGTTACTCAAGTTAATTTGCAGGCACCCAAACAGAAGACTTTACTCCCCTTTCGCCCTCCCACCCCAACCCAATCATGGTATTGGGTAGAATGACCCGCACAGCTACTCAACATTAAGAAGTTAAGCAGAAGGGAAATCAACCAAGGAGACTGAGAAAGAATAAGATGCAAGGTCATTGACTATCAAGGAAACAGTGGGACCTTGGAAGTAACTGGGGGAGAGGGAAAGCGCTCCAGCAAGGAGGTATGTTGAATGCTATCGTCAAGTATTCTGAATTCTGCTGAGAGTTCAGAAAAACTGAAGCGAGAGAAGTGACCTATGAATGTTGTGATTTGACAAGAACCATCACAGTGGTGGGGTGAAAACCACAGTCCAATTGGAATGGATTGAAAAGAATGCAGTTGAGAAAATAGAGACAGCATTTGTAGGTAGGTGTTTCAAGAAGTTTTTGCTAAGAACAGGGAGCTGGAGGAAGATGTGGGAATAAAAGGAACATTTCTTGAAAACTGTATATGCTGATGGAAACAACCGAGAACAAGGGGGAAATAGACAAAGCAAGAGAAAGAAGAGAGAAAGGATAATTACAAAGGCCATATTGTTGAGGAAGAAGTCGGCCTTTGACAGGAGCAAACATATCTCAAAATAGCAGGAATGAAGGCAAGGGAACAGATGCTGCCAGGCTGCAAGATCTGCTGGTGGGAGGATGAGGAAGTTACCACCTCAGTGTTCTTCTAATTCTCCACAAACAAACTGTAACAACACAAGTATCTCTCTGCTGAGCTATTGGAGAAAATCCTTTGGGGCCCGTTTGTTCCCCTCCTCCTGTCAAAGATAAAGCAGGGAAGTGAAAAGTGACAAAGGGTTGATCACAGGCAAATGCTGGATCTGGATCTGCTAGCTGGTCATTATCTTCCCACAGTGACTGGAAGACAGAAGACTGATGATGATTACATTTCAAATGAATGGCTTTCAAGTCCCATGGAAAGCATTCCTGAGTTGTAGGAGATACATATATATCTCAAAGGTACAGAGAAAGAATTCACATAAGCCCTTTTTAATAAGTGCTCTAAGAATCAGAAGTCAAGGGCGTATGTTTGGTGTTGGCTAAAACAAACTACATTTTGGGTGCAGACTTGAGCTTTCTCAGGCAGGGGAGGTTAAGAGGGGCTGGGGCCATCCTAAGGGTGAGGCTGTGAGCTGTTAGAACCTATTTTAGCTAAGTCTTTTCATGTGGGAAAAAGGTAATGGACAAAATAATCTGTGCTGAGAATCTGTAGGTTTTATAAGCCAAGGCTGAGGCCTAGTTAAGAAAAGGGCTCAAAGGGTCCTGGCTAGAAGTTGGGCAAGGAGAGAATCTTGGTCTCTCTCCACCTACCAGGATCACACCCTCCTTTAATGTTTACCAAAAGAAAAACTTGCATGTTTCCCCCCCCCTTATCTAGCCAAAGTGATGTCTCTTTTCTGAATTAATAGCATCTATTACAGTACTTCTCATATGGAAGGCTATTGTTGTACCTCTTAGCAAACTTTATTATCTTATTTCAATATGTACCTCTCATGCATTTGTCTTGGCTACCCGATGAGGTCACAATTTCCTATAGGAACGTGGGCTACTGCCTCTGACATCTTTTTACAATTACGGGTTCTGTGCAGCACTCGATCACATGGAAAGGACTCAGTGCAAGTCACAGGGTACCCATGCACCTTCATTCATTCTAAAAAATTTTAATGAGCACTCTCTATATGCATATCATTTTTCCAAGTTCAATAAGACCCAGCCCAAACTTTTATTCTTGGCTCCCACGTTTTCCCATCAAAGAGTCCTGCAACATACTCGGGAGCTTAAATACACATTTGCCTTGAAACTTTCAAAAATCTAACCCTGTAGAACCTGGTCTGTAAGACAATAATAGATATGTGTCAGGTACTACACAGTTTAGAAGTTCATTATTAAAGAATCCCTCAAAAACCAACAACCATAGGCTCATACTCAAGGTATATTAAGTGGTCACAACCACAGTGAAGCACTGCTCACACCCAGGAGGATAGCTATAATCAAAAAGTCAGACAGTAGCAAGTGTTGGTGAGGATGTGAAGAACAGTGTATAAGTTAAGACTTACACACTGCTGGTGGACATATAAAATGATGCAGCCACTTCAGAAAATAGTTAGACAGTTTCTCAAATGTTTAACATAGAGTGGCTATATGATACAGCAATTCCACTCCTAGGAATGTAGTCAATAGAAATGAAAACACATGTCCACATAGAAACCAGGACATAGCATTATTCGTAGTAGCCAAAAAGTAGAAGAAAACAAAATTTCTATCAATAGAATGAATACATATTATTGCACTTATAGATATGCCCATACAGTGGAATAACTCATCAGCAATAAAAAGGAATGAGATACTGATAAATGGCTAAACCTAGAAAATATTATGCTCACTGATGGAAGCCAGACATAAAACACTACACATTGTATGATTACATTTACATACAATGTCTAGAGTAGGCAAATTCATAGGCAGAAACTGATGAGTGTTTGCTAGGGCTGGGGTGTGGGGCTTGGGGGGCGTGTGTAATCACTGAAGGATATTTGTGTGTGTGTGTGTGTGTGTGTGTGTGAGATAACTAATTAGTATTAGTTATCTAATACTAAGATATATTAGACATTACGAATTAGATATTAGATAACATATAACATCTAACACTAAAAATCCTAATTAGTATTAGGATTTTTTTGAGGTAATAAAAATATCCCAAAATTAGAGTGATAGTTGTACATATCTGCGAATATACTAAAAATGATTGAATGGTACACTTCAAATGAGTAATTGCCTGGTGTGTGAGGTATATCTCAATGAAGTTAGAAAAATAAAGTCTTGGGACCTATAACCAACTACCAAGAGACTGAGGGCCCCAAACGTTATTTCCAGCGACCAACAAAGTGGTATCCTTCATGGGCAAGCATCCGTTTCCACGTATAAAATGCCAAACACGGAGCTGTGCATTGGTTGGTGAAGCGCGAGCATTGAGTGTTTAAGGGCAGATCCTAAGCTGACCTTCCGGCCCTTGGCGAGCACCTGGGCCGCCTCCGATCGCCGGGCGCCCCTCCTCCGGCCCTGAGTCACGGCGCCGGAGTCCCCACGCGGAGATGCGGTGAGTGAGGCCGGGACGCCGCGGGCCCTGGGGCGCAGCGTTGGGCTCTGGGCCGCCCAGTGGCGGCGCACGGAAAGCTGGGCCGGCAGCCGCGCTCGCCTCCCGGCCCGGACGCCGCAGACCGGCTCCTTCTCGGCGGGCGGCAGCCGGTCTGAGCCGCGCGTCCTCCCCGCGCCCGCCCGCCCTCCATGGCGTTTATCCGGAAGAAGCAGCAGGAGCAGCAGCTGCAGCTCTACTCCAAAGAGAGGTGAGCGCCCGGCCCGGGACGGGCTCGGGACGCCCGAGCGGGCGTCGGACGCTGGGGAAGGCGTCGGGTTCCCTGCGGGAGAGCGGAGGGGCCGACCGGTGTGGCGCGCGCTCGGAGGCCGCGGCCGCGAGCTCGTTCGGCGCCCGGGACCCGGGCCGCGGCCAGTGCCCGGAGTCAGGGTCAGAGCCCGGGGCCTGGTCGGGGCCTGGGACCGCCAGGGCCGGAGCCCGCGGGCCACCGTGGTCCCGGCGGCCGCGTCCGGGCTCACCCGGAAGAGGCCGCGCGGGCTCGGGGCGGACTCTTCCCGCGGGCGTCCGGCCTCGGAACGCGGGGACGCCCCTCTGCGCGCGGGCCCTGGCGTTCCCTGGGGGCGTGAAGCGAGGTCGGCGGACTCCCCCTCCTTCTCACTTCTTCCGCCCCGATGCGGCGCTCTCCCACCCCCAGGGAACCGTTTATGGGCCGAGAGGCTTCAGCCAAGCTGCTGGCTGGTGGGCGACCCCAGAGTGTGCACCGGGGTCGGGGAGGTGGATGCGCCGGTGGTGGGGCGGGGTGGGGGGCTCTAGTCGCCGATGCTTCACACAACCGAGCCTTCCTTCGTACAACTTCTACTTCTTCAGACGTAAAGCAGATGCTCCACTGGTCAGGGGGAGGGTCACAAACAAGGCCTTATTCTGGGAAAGCCAGGGTCCAATCCTCCAAATGTTTTCTTCTAAGCGGTGAACCTTACTATTTGTGTCATTGAAGCTTTTGCATTCAAAAGCTTGGCGGGGCACTGCAGTCACCACCTGTAGCCCTGGAGGAACTTGGGGTCCCAGGAGAAGCTAAAATAGTCCCAGGGCCGTGCCCTCTCAGAGTTTCTGATCCTCAGTCTCCAGGGGAAGTGTCTTATAAGAAAGCTCACTTCTGCCCAATTATACCTGCCAATGCATTTAAGGTGACCGAGGCAACTTGCTGATGGATCCTCCGGCCTGGGGCCCCAGGTGGGAGAAGGAACTGGGGCTGAATTATTTTACACATACTGTTTTAGTTGGGGGAGCTAGTTATGTCGGAGTGCGGCTAACCTGTCACGTCGTGTGATGGGCGGACACCAACAAAGCAGCCAATACAAGCAAGTACAAGTGTAGACTTCAAGGTCTGTGTGATCTTCCAGCATCCACACTTGTTTTATAGGTGTTGACTGGACCTGTTTCGTCTGAACTTTCATATCCCTTTCTAAATATCTACTGTTGCCTGGTCAGAATGTCCATAGTTTGACATTTTGTTTCACTAGTGTAGAGAAGGAGATAAGATATTCCAAAAAAAACATCTTGGGTATGGCTTCCAAGAACGTTTTTAGCAGTGTGACTAGGTTTTAGCCACATAAAATCTTGCTTATTCAATAATAACTGGGCTGTAAAGTACTCACACTTGCTTAAAAAGGCTCTTCTGACTTCATTTGTACTGCTTGCTTCATGTAGAAAGAATTTGAGTAGAGTTTCCTTTTCTGTACCAACAACGTTAGAACATGATGGTATTCTGTGTTAAATAGATGAATGTTCAAATTTTACATTGTAAGAACTTTGAAACACTTAAATTGCCATCCTGTTCTATGATCTAAGGGTCACTTAGAACAATTCCATTGCCTCACTGGTATACAGGAAACCTTGTTTTCTTTAGATCTGCCAGTTATTTTGATGGCAGTAATTTGTGTTGAATTTGGATAGCTTGTACAGCTCTGCAATGTCACAGGAGTCTGCACTTACATTTCTGTGTGCAGTCTGCTTTGTCGGTATGATCAGACAACATGGCAGGCTAGCAGCAACTCTCCACGTAGGAGCTAGCTCTCCCAACCAAAACATTTATTCATCAGGCAGGAGGCAGCAACTCTTCCTGAAAAAGCTAGTGCCACATATTTATATTATTTGAAACCTACTTGCTGACTGCCCAGATTCTTTAATGCTCTCTGCCACTTGACTTTGGACCTTTGAGATGGGCAGGGTTGAACCAGAATGGATGGTGTCCATAGAATCAGTTTGAATGACAGGAATCTGTCTCACAATCAGATATGGGCTAGAAGCACTCTCTCCATAGATCTTAGAGTTCATTCTGAGAGATAAGAATATTTCAGCCAACTTCATTCAGTCCCAAATTTACTGTTTTCACTCAGATTTTTCCTGACTAAATTCTTTGGTGTCAGTGATCACTAATTAGCAAAATGATTGATATGGCTCATTGGTTTAGGCATATAGCCAAGGAAACTGTTACTTTCCTTGGGACTGTTTTCATGAAAAGGCCTCACCTCTTCAGACTTGTGAGTTCATTGGTCCCTGTCATGCTGCTTTAAAGATTTTAGATTTCTACTGCTACCAAATAATGACCCAGATAGAGAAACTTGAAGTTAGTGTGTATTTCCTTTACTGTTAAGTTGGTGCAAGGAAGTGAAATTTCTACAAAGTAGAAGCAGAGAGTCTGGGAGATTCTTGGATTGGTGGCTTACATCAAAGTGGTGGCAGAAGAAATGGAGAAAAGTGGATGGATTTTACGTGTTTTTAGGAGGGAGCATTGACAGATCTTGGTGCGATGGATTGGGTGTAGGAGGTAACAGGAAGAACCTCAGCTACAGTTGTCAGAGAAGCAACAAATAATCTTTTAGGATAAGTATATCCTGTGCAATATTTGATATAAGTATTCATATGTTTATATTGAAATGTTTTTGTAATTTATCTGAAAGTCAAATTTAACTAGGTGTTTTCCATTTTTATTAGGTAGATGTTGCAATCATACTCTCAGGTTTCTGGTGTGAGCAACTGTGATGCTATTTATTGGTGATTATGAAGAATTGCTTTGGTAATTTTCAGTGTTAGAAAATGAAGAGATACTTGGCCATTCAAATTAGGTACACTAGTATCCTGGTTAAGATTCAGATTGTAGGAACCATATTGGTTTTACTTTAAAAAAATATCCCATGCAGGTGTTAATGAAGATAAAGGGGAAAAATTTTTAAAGACAATTCACATATCTTCCTTTGGAATTTTTAGACATGGCAGATGTTTACAGTAGGTTAGCAGATAAGGATTTTCTACAAACTGCTGCTATTTACGATATTTCTATTTTAGCCCTGGCTGGTGTGGCTCAATGGATTGAGGGCCAGCCTGCAAACCAAGGGGTTGCTGGTCTGATTCCCAGTCAGGGCATATGCCTGGGTTGCTGGGCCAGGTCCCCAGTAGCGGGGTGCTCTAGAGGCAACCACACATTGATGTTTCTCTCCCTCTCTCCCACCCTTCCCCTCTGTCTAAAAATAAATAAATAACATCTTTTTAAAAGATATTTATATTTTAAGATTTAAGAATAGGAAATTGTTAAATGATTTTTATCTTTATGTCTAGAAGTGGTGTGGGGGGACCAAAGCTCTTCTTATTGGGCGAAGTATAAATTTGGATAGTTGAGGCATGTTCCCACAGGGGGTGTGGATCACAGTTTTCTCTCTGTGAGGTCATACAACAGATTGCCTAGCTGTGGCTTGTGAACTGCCATTCCAGGATAAAACATTAGTGATCATGAATTCTGTATTGGGCACATATATAACATGAATAGTTTTACAGGCATTTCTAAGACTTCAGCTTTTCTTCAAACATTCCATGTTTGTGATTCTCATGGTTATGCTGATATTAAATTTCTTGGTGGATATTAAATAGATTCTACTTCATATGTTTATTTTATCAGTTGATTCTGTACTCCTTATACTAAAAATACTTGTCAGAAAGCAAAGTGATTTGTTATATTCCTGTTTAATCTTTCATTTCTAAAACTGAATATGCTGTTTTTAATATCTCCATGGGATATACCAAGTATTGGAAATGGAGGTAAATTGCAGAATCAGTACTTATTTAGTCAGGACTGCTGATAGGTTGGAAGAAATTACATTATGTTTATTAATTGTGCTTAGATCTTCTATTTCCTTAATGAATTTTTTCTGATTGACTTATCAATTACTGAGAGATGCTTCATGATACAAACTTTGCCTTGTATTTCTAAGTTTGCTGTATGTATTTTCAGTGTATGTTATCTGTATAAGTTTAGAATTGATATCTTCTTAGTCAATTGAATTTTTCATCAACGTATAATGACCTCTTCTAGTACTGATTTTTTCCTATTTTGTCTGATGTTAATATGACTATATCAGTTTTCTCTTATTTGCATTATATAGAATTTTTTCATTCTTTTACTTTCTACTTTTGTGTGTCCATAGGTTTTAGGCATATTTCTCTGAAGGCTTATAGTTGGACTTTTAAATAATTTACTCTGATAATTTTTTGTTTTGACCCTTCCCCCTTTGTTCCCTTTCATTTTTTCTGGAGCATATAGAAGAAGTGTGTGTGTGTATGTGTGTGTGTCTATACATACTTTGTATTTCTATCAAAATTGTATATAATGCAAATAATCAAAAGAAAACTGATATAGTTATATTAACATCAGACAAAATAGAAAAAAATCAGTACTAGAAGAGGTCATTATATGTTGATGAAAAATTCAATTGACTAAGAAATATCGATTCTAAACTTACACAGATAACATACACCGAAAATACATACAGCAAACTTTGATGGAAATACAAGGCAAAGTTTGCATCATTGTGTATACACACACACATATGTGTATACACACACACATATTCTGCTTCTGTTTTTCTAGTGCTTACCCTTGATATTTTTATATTTATATTTAACTTAAGGTCTGAAACCAATTATTCTCTTTACCGTCCTCCCTAATAAGGACCTTAGAATAGTTAACTCCTGTTGCCCCATCCTAAATTATAACTTGTTATTGTCCAGAATTTTCCATGCATAGTTAAACCTACAAATTGGACACTACCTTAGTCCCCCCTTGTCCACCGGAGACACATTGTAAGAACTGCAGTGAATCCCTGACCCTGCAGGTAACACTGAATCCTATATACACTATGTTTCTTCATACACATGCATACCTTTCGCAGCTTCTCTTTGGCCGATTCAAATTGCCAG